AGGAGAAGGTGAAGAAGCGGCCGGGCGGGAGGCCGGAGGTGATTTACAACTACGTGCAAAGGCCGTTCATCCGCATGTCGTGGGAGAAGGAGGAAGGCAAGAGCCGGCACGTYGACTTCCAGTGTGTGAAGAGCAAATCCATCACCAATCTGGCAGCGGCAGCAGCAGACATTCCCCAGGACCAGCTGGTGGTGATGCACCCCACGCCGCAGGTGGACGAGCTGGACATCCTGCCCATGCAGCCCAACCCCGGCAGCAGCGAGCTGGAGGCCGAGGCGCAGAACCCCCCGCTCTGATCGCAGCTCCCTGCACCGCAAGCATGCTCCTCACAGTGACTGTATCAGCTCATCCCACTGCAGTGCCACTTCTCCATTGTGTCCCGTGTTTAGGATATTGCAGTAGGAGCCTGGCACGGCCCCRAGGGATGCCTGGTTGTTGTGGCAGGAGTGCAGCTCCAGCACTGGGCTCGGTGCCGTACGTGTCTGTGTTTACCAGTAGGTTTGTGACGTTGGTGATTTGTGAGCTGGCCCAGCCCCGCAGCCCGGGGCCGCTGGCGTGACACGGGGTAGGAAGCAGAGTGGCARTTGATAGTAGCACTTTACAAATGGTTGAGAAATGGAAGTTGAAGCCATTTTTTATAAATGTATTGCACAATACTAACAAAGTGCTTCTATCAAAGGTATTAACTGTACATAGTTTTGCTCTGAATAGATTGACCCTTTTAAAGTTATTGTATATGGTTGAGCACAAAACTACTTACTCTTGGGTTTTTGGATTGAGGAYGTGATTCAATGACCCATGTAACATCTTGTTCAAGTTCTTTAGTGAATTTTTTCACTCGTTTGCAGCGTGAGCCGTGTTCAAAAATTGTGAACAACGGATAGGGGCTTTATCTTAAATTTTGCCTTACCTTAAGCTGTTCACAAATATTTATTTAATACATTTTCATAAGTGTCATGAAATAGGATAATGGAAATGGTTCATTCTTCATTTATTAATGATTGTAAACAAGTTTTTCATGCAAATAAAGTTTCCATTATTTTAATGGGCTTGAGTTATCTGTGAATTATTAATTTTGCAAGTAGTTTCTTTTTTTTCCTCAGGGGAAGGAAGGAAGGATGGCTGATATTAAGTGAAAAACAAGTATTTCTTAAAGATAATCAGCCTTGTTCAACCTACCTGCCTGTTGTGCTTTTCTCAGGCTAAACCTGARTCTAGGAGTAAGTAATAACAGCTTCTCTGGGAATTCACTGTCATGACAAATCTTGTGAGTGTATGTAAGGCACTGGTTTTCCTCCCTTTTCCCCCAAGGCTAAAGAAATGATAAATGCTAAGTGCTTCTAGCRTGCACCTTCAGCAGGGTTTTATCAAATTTATTTATCAAAGTAAATGCTCCATCTTAGAACAAGGGAAACATTTATTTTAAAAATATTTAACTGTCTAATACATTACACTTTAACAATATTTATAGTAAAGGATTCTTACAAGAAAGAATAAACAGCTTTATGGTACAATTAGTATAAGAAATATCCACATGGGGACTGTTTTGCAGTGTAAAAACACACCATACATCTGAAATGGTCATTTGCATATAAAAGCTACCACTGATGCCAGTGAGTTGCACAGTGATTTAAAAAAAAATTCAAACAACAGAATCCAAAATATACAAGTATTGCAAGCTATACACAGCTAACCAAATCAACACAGAACACTGTAGCAGGTTATTCCACTTTGTCTGAAGTTACACATGGTAGGATGAGTTGCATTCTGACACAGCTTTTATGAAATTCCTACATAAAAGCCTCTCAGTCCCACGAGTTTCACAGACTGTCCACCAGTAAATGCACTTTGATATTTGGGTGTGGGGTGCATCATTTACAGGGGCCAGGGCAGGTCACTGAAGTCCACGGGGCCCCCGAGCCCCGCGTCAGCCTCCAGCAGGCTCATGATCACCGCCATGGCTGCCTCGTCATTGCTGGGGCTGCTGGAGCCCTGCTCCGTGTCGATCATGTCCATGCCGATGTGCGAGTTCTCCCCTGCAAAGG